CTCCTCATTGTTTTTCTCAGTCAGCTGAAGTTGCATCTTTCATTAAATATAATTCTTGATCATTTCAGAATATTTCTTGAATTTTTAAATAAACCTGTTAATGACAACGAGATGCAGACGATTAAGGTAATTAGTGGATATAGCTTTTTTTAATTACTGTAAAGTTTTTTTTCATATCATTTTAAATTAGGTTTAAATGAAATTTATTTTTTGAAATATTTAAACAGCAAACTTTTGTAGACTTTTTGCGTATAATAAAGTTAATTAACATTAGAGGTTGGATATAATTATTAAGTGATATCTTCCTATTCAAACAATTTTCTTTTTAACAACATGAAATGTACTTATAGTATTGCTATAATGTCGTCTTCCTATTCTACAGTTTTCTGGTCATTACTGTAGTTCTTAGGCCGCTCGTGGTTGAACTTGTAATGTAGTCTAACAAACCATACCTAGTTAAACCATTTAATTATTTGTGTTCAGTGTGTAGTGGTTGGTGACGGAGCTGTTGGTAAAACCTGTCTACTTATCTCTTACACAACCAACAAATTCCCTTCAGAATATGTTCCAACAGTAAGTAGTATTATTGAAAATATATATTTTTAGGTTTTTGATAATTATGCCGTTACGGTTATGATCGGCGGGGAACCGTACACTCTAGGATTGTTTGATACCGCTGGTCAAGAGGATTACGACCGGCTCCGGCCGCTCTCCTACCCACAGACGGACGTTTTCCTGGTGTGTTTCAGTGTTGTATCCCCCTCATCCTTCGAGAACGTGAAGGAGAAATGGGTTCCTGAGATAACTCATCACTGTCAAAAGACTCCTTTCCTTCTGGTCGGAACACAAATAGATTTGAGAGATGATAATGCTACAATCGAAAAATTAGGTAAAAATATGAAAAATTCGATTAAAATAAAAAATAACCATGAAAACAGAGCCTAAGGATACCAGGATTCGGATCTGCAACATGTTGGTTCCCTTGATTCCCTTTATCCAACTAAAACAAAAATATAAGTCCTACCTTTTTTTTGCAATTGCGAGACTGACTAAATCCACCGCTGATCTCTCAATGGTAGAATAAATACGAACCAGAAATTTGGGGAGGGGGGGAGGGGGGGTTGTGGAATCTAAAAAAATAAAAAATTGAAGAAATTAGAGTAAGCTGGATCTTCATCGAAATGGAAGAGCTAGATCCATATCACTGCATTTTAACGAAAGTTTTCTTAAATTCTCTTATTTTCTTATAGGGTGACACACGAAGAAGGGAAAGTATAAAATCAAAGGGTGCAAAGGTTCTCTAGGTGATCCGTAGTATTGAAATGCAAAAATATTTTTTGCTCTAACTTGATGAAATAAGGTGGAAGTATTTTCAGGAAAAAAAATTTGTTAAAGATAAGTGGGCAGTTCGACACTTTGTGAGTTGTGACACCAACTTTTGTACAGGCGGTTTTTGGTTCTAAAAATTGAGATAAAAAGGCTTAATTTTCGCATGCAGCCTCCCATTGTGGCCCGATACCCTGATCACAAAGAAAATTTGGGTTAGGAGGTCATTTACCTTCACCAAAAATCAAGATTTTGCCGAAAAAGCGAAAACGACTTCCATCTGATGCAATGCTCCGATGAATCTAAATTTTCACAAAAATGCTTACATTGGGCCACATCTCCAATATAATCTATGCACCCCAATTTTTTACCACATTTGTGTGTCATGTAATGTACAACTATACTAACCAAACAAAATTAGGAAACAAGTAATGGCAAACTTGTATAGTGGGTTTTTATATTTTGAGAGTTATTCGATATGTTAGTTTTAAAGAAACTGAGTTCCTGCTTCAAACTCAGATTTTTTAATCCCTTTATTACTTAACAATCCGATGTGGTTTGACCTTTGATATTTCAAATGATGAATTCTGTTGAATCAAATAGTCAAAGTTTGAAATATCAAAGCTCTACACTATCAGGTTAAACAGATATAGGTATTAGAAAATTTGTGTTTGTGGCTAGAACTCAATTCTTTATTTATTTGAACCTAAACTTAAACTTGGAAGGTGCTTTCAGGCACAACATCTTGTCCCATTCGTGGCAAAACAAAGATTAAGGGTTATTTTTGAGGGAAAATAAAAAAAATTGGGCAATAAGTATCTTAAAGAGAAGGGGTTGTTATTCTTGAAATTATATACCTCTCTTTTGCCATGATAAATCTATATAAATTTTTTTTTCAATTAAAAAAAATTGTTTTCAAAGTGCGATTTTTTTACTTCACGGGCAACGCCGGACACTTCAGCTAATAAATAATATATCCTGAAGTGATATATTTTTAATACTCTAGCGAAGAACAAGCAGAAGCCTCTGAGCCTGGAGATGGGTGAGAGGCTGGCCAAGGAGCTGAGAGCTGTCAAGTATGTCGAGTGCTCTGCTCTCACACAGAAGGGTCTTAAAAATGTTTTCGATGAGGTGAGAGATTTATTAATATACAGAGGGACCCAGTAAACATGGAGATTTAGCGACATTTTCAAGATCGTATCTTATAAAGTAATCTCTGCTTGTTTTTTTGGATGTCAGATCATAACTTAGGAACCCCTTGACTGATTTTCCTCTAATTTTGATTTGGGGAGTTCCCCAAGGAAATGTTCTTAGTTTAGGTTTGAGCAAGGATATATAATAGATGGATATATCATAGTCAAAGTTTGATGTAATTTTTTCGGTGGGGTGTTATGCAGTACGTTAGACATTTGACCCTGGAACTTACAATTTGTCTTTGGTTTTCGTAAAGTTAATAGATGTCAAAGGAGTATAGAAAAACATTGTAAGTCTTTAAAACTTGATAAGATTTAGCCTCCTTCTTTGTATTATAAAAATTGTTGGAGATACTAAAGATTTAAACAACCTTGCTTTTATTTAAAAATTTGGAATTTTAAACAAATTTCTCAATATCTTGGTCAATTCTTATGGTACAAAAACGGCAGACCACATTTTGGAATTCTGAAAACAAGGCGCCTTTGATGCTACCAACTCTTTGAAGAAAATGCTATGATCACAAGATTTTAGCTACAGTATCTCATTTCTGCTTACTCCAGGGCCCACTATCTACCAAAGTTCTTCTCTAATTTGGACCCTGAACTTAACACTTCAAACTTTTTTAAAAGTACAAATTATTTTTATAGAATGATCAATAGCCAGAATAAAAATTTGTCAAAGTAAAACCTAAAATTTGCTAAGCAGAGGTTTTAGAAATTTCCTAAAAATATCTAGGGTCCACTGAGATATATCAGCTGCGTAGCCCACCGATAAAGTTTCATGTACACTAGCCCAGAATAGTATAGATCGGTAGATAGAAGCATACATATAAGCGGGCCCTGGGTTTGAGATTCTAAATTGAGTGGTTAAATTTATAGGTTTTATAAGAATAATTGCTAAAATCAAAATTTATGACCACGCGCGGGTAAACGGTGGGATAAACTATAAGTTCCTATGCAACGATTATCTATGGTGATACCTACTAGAAAGTCTGTAGAATATTTTGTCTGCAAGAGTGAGTTTCGTTACTAATGTTTTATTAAGCTAAACAGATTTGTCACTTTCTTATACACACGACAAGCCGATCCTGTCACTCGTTTATATTCCATTCATCCTGTCATTCGTTTATATTCCATTCATCCTGTCACTCGTTTATATTCCATTCATCCTGTCACTCGTTTATATTCAATTCATCCTGTCACTCGTTTATATTCCATTCATCCTGTCACTCGTTTATATTCCATTCATCCGGAATGATTGATGCTTTTCCTAGATCAATAAAAAAATCATTTTTATTTTTTTGGAATAAGTTTTGATTTATACTTAATATTTTTAACAAATCGGAGTTAGAATGTTCTTAGGTTATATCATATTTCCCTTTATAAATGTTATCATATCGGATTGTGCAGGGTTCGCTAAATATTTACAAAATCCAAACAAATAAATTAAATCCGGCTTTTTTGACACACGTGTTTCTGATTTAAAAACTAGTCTCTTTTTGGGGATTTTTTAAAAAGTGAAGACAAAAAAATTAAGGAAGGTGTCTGATGTATAGGCTTCAATGATTTTAACTTTCGCGGTTTTTGATCTTAGAAATCATCAAATCAAATCAAATCAAATCAAATTATATATTTAGCCACAAACTATACATGTAAAAATGGATATTTATAATTTTTCCCCCTAAAATTAGAATACAGCTTGCGATGATATATAATATTGAGGCATGAGATCAGAGCAAGAAAACTTAATGGGGAAAGCGTTTTGGAAGAGGGCTTTAGACACAAGCTTGAATTTCATTGGGTGGGGGGTGCGGAAGTAATTTGGTTGTTTACCATAATCTAATTCTTTCTAATGCCTGGCTTCAAGCATATATTTACAAATCATAATTGTTGAATTTACATTGTTGTTTATCAATAGAATATCAAACCGGAAAATGTTTTTGTAAAGAATAAATTAGCATAAAGGAAAACGTGTGCTGTGGCCCCACACTTTATAGGAAATTTATTCAATGTTGCCTCGGACATTTTTTAGCATAGCAAAAATCTAGTCTGACAATATCATTGATATAATTCGTCGCAACTAAAATTTGTCTAAATATAAATAAAATAGGGAAATAATTCTTTCTCCAGAAAAGAATGTTTTCTGGAGAGAGAGAAAACTCCTTTCAAACGAAATAAACTGTTTTGTTCTAATTTTCTTTATTTTAGGCTATATTGGCGGCTCTTGAGCCTCCAGAACCCATAAAGCGGAGGAAATGTACCCTACTCTGAATCTGTTGCTAAATTCTGTTCAACTAACACATTTTTCTCTTGAAGGAATATTCTTAAAATGATTTATTATTTTTACATTGGTTTATATTTATCTATTCAAAACTGGTTTCTACCAATCTACGAATGAATATAGGTGTGTTTTTTGTCAATTAGTTTAACACAATTCTAAATTTAAACTTGTCCAATCATCTTCACAAGTCTATGCCGGGCTGTCACGGTTAATCACAATTCTGTCAGGGGATCACGATTTCGACTTGAACGCGTTTAAATGAATTTTATGAATGGAATTGGACGAACCAGAATTTAAATATGAATTAGTTTTTACTATTTATTGTGCGCTAAGAACGTGCAGATCCGGTTTGGATGTTTTTTTTCAAATACTCTGTACGTAACATCCTAATAAAGATGAAATAAGTACAGATTAATTTAATATCTAATTACAATTCGTTCTGTTTCAAGATTCATGAACAGTCTCTTTGAGTAAACTTTTGCAGGAGTTATGATAAACATAAATTAATAACCGGTTTTTTTTCTGGCTATGGAAACAAACATTGCTTTGCGAAATTTCTTCACTTACAAAAAACATTTTTTTCTTTAAATTCGCAATTAAGTTTTTTTCCTTTTGAATTCTCTAAGCAATGTTATAGATTTACTTCCATGTATTGGTACTTCCTAAGGTCACGCTGTACAGTTGCGTACACTGCACGGTTGTAATCTGACCAAACGTATACTGGTTTTCTAACGGCAGTACATTGACTTGTTTCGTCATAAGTACTGACTTCAAGTTTTCATTAGTGTTACTTAACAAAAGCAACATTGATCTTCGCTTGAAAAATATATCAATATTTTTTGTGATTGAATTTTTGTGGAAGCATTGATACTTCAAATCTACCATAACTATTATTTTTCTGTATTACTTTAATCGGCCAAAAAATCAAATTATACCTGCGTTAACTGGAATTTCTGTAAATACATTAATTCAAATGTTTTATACCAATTAGAAAATAATATTTTCCTATCTAAAATATATATTGTAAATCAGCATAATTGCATTTTATGAGTTTTAAGTTAATAAATGTTTATTAAAATTATTTTTATGTTAAAACTAAACTATATTACATGGTGAGTAGCATAGCTCTTAGCAGAATTATTCAGGTGGAAAATTTTTGGAAATTATGCAATGAATGTAGGATGGAAATTTGAAGGTTTGTTATTTAGAATTACACTACGCTCACTCGGAAGAGGAAAGGATATTAAGCTACATTTTGAAAATGAATAATTTTTGAAAATCAAAATTGCCACACGGAAAACGGATCTGTGGTGGGAAAAGTCGAAAAAATGATATACAATAATACAAATAATACAAGCAAATAAAAAATCTTCTAAATACGGAGAATTGAAATGAAGAGATATGTATTGAACACTGAAATTAGAAACGTTGCCAACTAAATTCCGTTGAGACTATAATGTAAAAAAAGGATTTATAACCTATAATATGGTCCCCGGACAGTTTTCAGCGGCTTCCAAATTCTGATGCAAAAGTAAATACCTTTATTATTATTTTATCTTTTTACAGTCCGGATTTACTGAAAGTCAATTGTGTGCAAGGAAATTCTATATTTTGACTGAAATTAGAATTTTAAATTTTTTTACTCTATAAAGGCGTATTTAAAATAATATTGAGAATACAAGTTTAATAAGAAATTTCTATGCATGAATCAAACTGGGGTTTTGTGTTTTCGATAATTGATATTTTCTAAGCTATTGTTAAATACCCCTTCTGAATATTTTTCCAAATGCGTAATTTATCTACTACCCACATTTCAGTAATTTGGTGTAGGTCAGAACTCAGAAGTGTAGTATAGCGGATTTGAGTAGGTCGAAAGATACACCATCCCAAAATAGAATAAGTCTTAAAACGGCAAAATGTCGTCTTTTATTCATATTTTGAATTTGGCGGGTTTGGTCCCCTGCTATGTTCGATGCTAGACCGTTGCATTTTATTTCCCGCTGTTCGGCTTCTAATATGGTGGAACCGCATGTAAACAAAGAAGGAGCATTTCTCCGGCAAATTTACGACATTTGTTAAGTGACAACAACGTTCCTGCTTCGTAATTACAGTGAATACATTAATAGTTTACTGTCGTGCATAGAAATGTGGTGTTTTATAAAGTTTCCCGGCTTGTAAAACATTGTTTTCTCCAGGCATTTTTTCTCCTGCAAGTGACGCCAAACCCAGTTTGATATTTTTCAAGCAAATCTTCGCTATTTGTTTTAAAAAAATCGTTTGTAATATTTAATAATGTTTTGAAAGTGTAGAGTGATAACAGTATAGTTTATTTCAGACCTGCGTGAAGTATTGATGCTAGGTTGAATGGACCCATGAAGGACCTTGGCGTTCTTACCGTGCTGAGCTCTGCACTCCCAACCTGGAGCTCCAAACCTGATGGAGTTTTCCAATTTCTACAACATCAAGACGGAGCAGGTGGGAGCCTGGAATCCGCCCCCCGGACCTCACGCGCCTGAACGGCAGAAGGTCAACCCATTCATGCAAGCTTGGGCTGTTGCTAGTATTTCAGGAATATACCTACTCCTAGTCCTACTCCTGTCTTGTTTATGTCCTGCATGCGGTTTTAACGTGCTTAGATTTAGCTTTTTTAAAATTTCTGTTTTGGCGCCTTTTTTATTTATTTTTATCCCGTAACAATTTCCTTAGGTGGTAGTGCACATATTAATACATAGCTTTTGCACATACGCTTTTTTAAAATTAAGTTTTTATTTTTTATTTCATTTTTATGTAATCGTCAGCTGCTTTGATAGTCTAATAATAACAGTGATTTTATAAACTTTGGTGACGGTATATACTATCTGTAGGAATGGTAGCATCTACAACTCCTGCTGCACACTCAGAATCCATTAAAGAAGACGACGCAAGAAGCGCGACTATTACCGCTAGTACAGCTCTAGTGACAGGTCGTCAAGTGGTTGCCAGTGTTCAAAGCCTCCAGGGTTATAATCACGTCCAGTCTATGATCCCTCTGGAGAATCATCAAAACTCTCAGCACGAAGTGCACGAACAAGGTAATGCGCATTCGCAGTCCGAAATGATAGAAAATCCCGGACACACTACTCCAGTACCTTCTCCTCATCAGATACACTCTCAACCCACCAACGATACAGCTTTTCCTGGTGGACAGCTCCGCCACAACTACAGTATTCACCAACAACCTCAACATCATCAATCTCATCTCCTCTCCGCCCTCTCTCACCAACAACCTAAACAGGAGAAGGATATAAAGAACTCTCAGGTATAGTTTCATATTTACTCCTAGCCTCTCATGATCTGTTTGTATAGAAACCTAATTCAAAACCTTGTTTTTAAATTATTTTGTCCGGCTTCTATGACAGCCACCCCCCTTTACGGATGTTGTCTGTCAGGAATACCACAGCGACGGCCAGGTTGACCGCAACAGTCGTGGAGAGAAGGTAGAACGTGTGTACGAGTGTCCTGACTGCGACAAAGCCTTTACTCGTGAAGAGCATCTAAAGAGACACAGCAGGCTGCACACCGACGATCCTGTTCATCGGTGCGAGGTGGTTGGGTGCACCAAGTCCTATACACGGAAGGAGAGGCTTACTAGACACTACAAGGTTTGTCGCAACATTTAGACATGAGAATCCGATACCGGGGACATTCTAGGGACCAGGCGACATCCATCGGAATTGAACATAATCGCCATCGTCATAAAACTTGAAAATATTTTTTTTTAGCTGTAAAATTTACACAAATTCAAATAATGTAGTTTTTTAAACTTGTAATTGTGCTTTAAACCACGTTAATTTCTCTAATGTCCGAATTTAAATGTTGTCCAGGTTCAGAAATGAAGTCGTTCTAGATCTCCGGGAAGCGATGGGGGGGGGGGTGGCTACATTGGCCTGACAAAAAAATATTTCTATACAAATACTTCATGGCGTCTCATTCTCATGTCTAGATGTATATTTTTCAAACTACATCCTTTATAAGTAAATACAATAGGAAGAATCATTTCAGTTTTTGTTTTAATATGAAACAATGTCTTCACATTCTATATTTCTAGGTTGCACATTTGGGACAACAGCCAGAGCGTCCGTTCTGGTGCTCCGAGTGCGGAAAGGATTTCCAGAGAAAAGAACACCTTCAACGCCATCAGAGAAACATTCACGGGGTAAGTTTAAATTTTTTCATCTCCGATAATAAACTTTAGATGGTGCCGCAAAAGCCTGCTTTGTTAACGTTACGACCATGAAATCCAAAGACTTACTTGTGAACTAAAAAATACCGTAATTCAAATTTTAACGTGTGTAAAGTAAAGTATGTGCTGTATTTCTATCTGATTTCAATTTTATTTGGAAGGGAGTTGTTTTTTCCCGCATTTTCAAGTTCATACACATTTTCCCGGAGGGGAATCTTTTCTACTTCTAAGCACCACCGGAAGAGTAGACCCAAGCGCGCCACCCGAGGAATGGGTCATTTAGTAAATTTATTAATTTAACGAATGGCCTATTGTCTAGGTGGCGCAATTGGGTGTACAGCCTCCGAAGCGGCCTCACTGGTGCCCTGACTGTGGAAAAGATTTCTTAAGAAAGGAACATCTTCAACGCCATCAGAAGAATATTCACAGGGTATGCTCATAATGACTCCCCCCCCCCCTTAAACCTACTCGACTTCTAAGTTCCTTATGATTCCTTAAGTATGTATGGGGGAGATATTTTAAATTGATTTTTATTTTTTTGTCTAGCCGGGAGGACCTCACCCTGCAGGATCTGGACCTCCTATAGTTCAACATCCTCCCCAACCCACTCATCACGTTCAACAACAGCAACATCAACAACAACAACAACAACAGCAGAACATGTCGCACACAAACAACTCCAATGGCGGGGGTAGCGGAAGCGGGACCTTGCTCCACTGCACCTACGAGGGGTGTCCGAAGACGTACAGTCGTCGCGAGCATCTGAATCGTCATATTAAGATGCATATGGGGATTCAACCTGACAGGCACGGGTCAATAGTTATTATAGTATCCGAGCAGGGGTATTCCCCCCCACCCTTTACACAAAATTATTTGTTTTTGTCTTCAATATGCCATTTTTCTCTTTGTCTCTAAATTATTACTTTTTTAAATAAATGACCTGGTGATTACTTTTTTGCTTTGCGATTTTTTTTTTTTTTGAAAAACATTTTTTTATTATATATCTAACTATTGAACTATAAGGCCCCCTGCACCCAGGCCATACTACTGTTTGGATTGTGGGAAAACATTTACAAGAAAAGAGCATTTGCTTCGACACAAGAGATCCCACACTGGGGAGACGCCCTATCCATGCCCCGGAGAAAGTAAGTAATTTAAACTTTGAATAGATTTGTTACTCATTCAAGTCAGCTGTAAACTGTTTTTCGTAATTTATTCTCATCTGTTGTTTTCTAGATTGTTCCAAGCAGTTCGCGCGTAAAGAGCACCTGAAGAGACACGTGCGCGTACACACTGGAGAGCATCCCTACCCTTGTTCCGAGTGCGGGCGGTAACTTGTTAAAACTTGAAATCTTTCCCTTTAGTACTAAAAATATACATTTCTGTCAATGATCATTTATTTTATCTTCTGTACTTTTAATTCTGTTTTTCGCCCTCATGTCGTCTCATCATCACCGCTTTCAAGGCAGCTTTGAATTTGTAAAATTTCGTTATTTTTGTCTGTTTTTCCCCTTGACTACATGAAGTTTTATATGACAGTGTTTCCTGTTTTTTCCCTTGACTACGTGAAGTTTTATATGACAGTGTTTCCTGTTTTTCCCTTGACTACGTGAAGTTTTATATGACAGTGTTTCCTGTTTTTCCCCTTGACTACATGAAGTTTTATATGACAGTGTTTCCTGTTTTGCCACATGACTACATGAAGTTTTATACGACAGTGTTTCCTGTTTTTTCCCTTGACTACGTGAAGTTTTATATGACAGTGTTTCCTGTTTTTTCTCTTGACTACATGAAGTTTTATATGACAGTGTTTCCTGTTTTTTCCCTTGACTACGTGAAGTTTTATATGACAGTGTTTCCTTTTTTTTCCCTTGACTACATGAAGTTCTATATGACAGTGTTTCCTGTTTTTCCCCTTGACTACATGAAGTTTTATATGACAGTGTTTCCATTTTGTTTAAACTTTTTGTCTGTCCTTGTAATTTCAAAGGGAAAGGTTTCTTGTGCATCTTGTTAAATTGATCAATGCATGCCTTGAACTAGAATGAGGACGAAACCTTGCAAAACATATCTCCGGATATACAAGTTTATCGCTCCGTTCCGCTCCTTGTTTTAGTTTCTTAGTCTAATCGTTATGCTTTAGTTCTTAGATTATAGTTATTTCTTTTCCAGGTCCTTTGGGCGCCGGGAACGTCTGATAAAGCATCTGAAATCGCATGGAATTGGTGGAAACGTTCCTCCAATTCACAAGATGGAGTTTAAGAAGGAACCGGAGAACGGTAAGATTTCAAACATATGATTAAAAATGGAAATATACTTCACTTGAAAAATAATAAATTAAATCGCATCTTGATTTAGAAAGAAAACTCAATTTTTTCTCGAAATAATACCCTGTTCGTTATTCAGATATGCAGATGGGTAGCCATGGAGTATTCGGAGATCAAACAGCCCAGCTCCTCAATATGATTGCTAAGAAAGGTCCTCTCAGTCCTGAGCAGCTAGGGATGGTTCCCCAGCAAGGGATGAACCTGGACCCTGAGGTTGCCAAGGCGCTCAAAAACCCAGAAATTGTCCGTGCTTTTAACAACCCAGAAGTGGTGAAAGCATTCGCGCTTGGCTCCCCACCCAAGATGGCTTCTAACACTACTACAACTACAGCCGTAATGTCCAACATCCAAGCCTCGCAGGCCGTGACTAGCCGAGGAGTTGATATAACCTGCACACCCTCTGTTCCTCACGAGCTGGCAAAACTACCCCCTGGCTTCTCAATATTCCCCGTTGTGCCTACCTCGATCCAGGAGAAAAATCCGCAAATGATTGATCAACCTCAGGTGGTTACAACGGTATCTAGTGGATACTATCAGAATCAAGGACACCCATCCCACCCACATCTGAAGCCTGGAGAGCTAGCAACTCTACCCATGTCCTGGGCTGGCTGGCCAGTACAAAGCATGAATATCAGGTCTCCAGCCAAACTTGAACCGGCAGAGAGCAAACACTGGGAGTCTGCATATTTTCGATCTCCTTTCTCATGAACCTAGATCTTAAATATGATCCTGTAAACTAACCTACCTAGAGAATTCTCCAGTATTCTTCCCTTCAATCCATCCCTTAACTCTCCAGTATTCTCCAGACCTGATATTTCTCTGCCTGCCATACCTGCTCTTTAACCTCGTGGGTTCAGCAGTATCTTGAGTAACTGCGTGTATTCCAAGAACCAGGATATTTTATGACACTTGTCTCGGGTGAAATCGTTAACAGATCTAATAAGTGAGAAAATAAATATTCATAAACTTATGAATAAAAGTGAAATCGTCCTCTATGATATTGACTCTTTGCAAAGAACTATTCTAAAAAAAACTCAAATTCGTTCGAAAAAAAGTTATGACTTGGCGTTCACCGCGCTATCATAAAATTGACAGTAACAGCCTGAAATATTTAGTTCAACATAAACAAACTTGTATTAGGTGTTCCTAGTTTAAATCTATGCAGTATGCTCGTATCTTGTAAACACTATCCCTTCAAGAGCGATACAAAGATCTGATCTAAGATCTTAACCAGTAGGAGGGGAAGGATGGTACCAAACCTTATTGATATTTATTAATTAGATAGATCTTTCTATCTTCATTCTCTTATCAATGTAATATATACTATTAATATTCTCAAAAACCAAAAAATGTAAATATATTCCGTAGATATTTAGACCTAACTGAAATGCAAAAATATCCCTGAATGCCGACAGTATGTTAAGCCATTATGGTCTTACGCTCAGGTTTTATTTCCAGTTTAAATTATGTTCGTAGGTATACTCATTCTACCTATACATACATTATACAATACATAGATTTGTCCAAACATCACTGTTAGTTGTGCGGAATAATTATCTTGATTTTTCATCATTATTAATTCGTTTAAATATAGTTAAGAATAAACGTACTGCAGCTGTAAGCTATCCTATGAATGAGAGAGGAATGGTTTATATTGACACTAATATGAAAATGTAATATAATACTCGTTTATTTTCTGATCTCACATCAGAGGCATTCATGTATAAAATAAATATTTTTCTCATTAAGCTTTCTTTTTTGTTCCAAAATTGGCAATAGTTATACCATACTTTTTCGAGTTTTTCTACAATTTTAACTTCAATTCGTTCAAATAATATTAAGGTTTAACAATGCCGAGCCATTTCTCATATGCTTTACGCTGCGGATAATCATAGGGACTCAAGAATTGTATCTACTGAAGATTAATGTTGTTCATTGGTTGTCTTAACTCATATTGACTGAAAAAGAAGTTGATAAAATTTATGTTTTACGAAAAAAAAACATTACGCAGTAAGAAGGCTATTTGGAAATTCATTTTTTAATTGAATTTAGTTTATTTTGTTTTAATCTTTTATTTCAGCAATACTTTTTTTGGGAAATGATTTTAGATGATGGTGTATTCTTCAACCTACGCAAATCCGCTATACTCCACTTCTAACGCACGCCAAATCTGCTATACTACACATCCGACCTACTAGCACGTGGTTTTACAGATACTATATGGTCTTGTGGCCGGAGTGAGCTGTCTCCTAGCCGCAGTGAGGTGTCTCCTAGCCGCAGCGCCCGGCCGAGAAATGGTCTTAACCTAACCTAACCCTCAAATTATACAAAAATAAACAGCTGGCGCAGGTCCGGTATTGAAGTAGGTTGGAAACTTAGTAGGTCAGAAGTTCAGTTCAGTTGCGTACAGACGATGTAATATTACCCTTTAAATTCAGATTATTTGTCAATCTCAAATTTTTTATTATCTTAATCTAATAAAAAAGTTCAAAAAAAGGTATTGCTTAAATCAAAGATTATTGCCCGGTTCATAGAACAAGCTGTAACTTGCTGTAACTACGACTATGATTTCCAGACATAGCTCTGTGCTCTGATCTCAAAATTGGATCACACCTCGTTCATTAGTCTCAAGTCATAGCATTTGATAGCTGTGACTTCGAGTCGCAGCTAAGCTGTAATCCAAGCTGCGAAGTCATAGCAATTTGACAGCTTAAATTGAAATCTTACTGGGCATTTGCACATTATAAAATATCAAATAATATTAATTGCATAATTTTTTCTCTAAATGTTTTCCTTTTTGCGTAAAAAATGTTTTAAATTTTATAAACCACTTTTAGTCAAAATACTTCTGATCTTTGATAAACTTTTTATGCCACTATTTTGAAGAAAAATACCAAAATCTAATTACTTTGAAGAAAAAAAACCAAGAGTTTTAAGGAAACGCTGAGGCTCGTTTCTGTATAGTGATAGAGGCTAGGTCTGCATAGGGGAGATTCATGGCGTCCGGGGGTACCCTCCCTCTTCAAGTAGGAACCCCATCCTTCACCATATCATACAGTGTGTCCCAATAAACATGAGAATGAAATGATCCGACTTCTACATCGTTTATATGTTCCTTAAACAGATTTGTGTAGTATTACAATTTAACATTGAGCATCGAAAAGTGAAAACGAATAGTCTCGGGATTTCCGAATTGTAGTCTATCATTTTTTACCTTAAGAAATATGTCCAGATTCCAGTTTATTATAAATCAACAAAACTATCGAATGTTTAATATCTCCGTTGCAATTTTAAAGATACAAAGGAAGTAGACCACAGTTTTAAAATCAAATTAGATTTTCAGTCCTATTTTCATGCCTTTATGTCATTTATCAAAGACGATATTTAAGTCGTTTCCCAACTCCCATGTTTATCGGGACACCCTGTACTTAATCCTCTTTAAACTTTCACGTTTAGAAGTTCTCACTGTATACTAAATTTACCATTTATGTTTACTTGAAAATATTTTTTGTGTTGCCTCGTTATAAAACATAGATAAACCTGTACAGAAATAATCCACAGTTGTTTTCTAAACTATATTTCAGTCGGAGTTGAACTAAAAAGAAAATTATTATTTTAATAAGATTTGTTTCTGTGACAACAAATAAAGAAACTGATTATATGTTTAAAAGTTTTCCATTTTTAAAATTTAGTTTTAAATTTGACTATATTGTTTGTTAAAAGCCCTGTTGCACTGCGTGTTCTGAATCGTTGAAGACACAGGATTATAAACAAAATATTAAAAGGAATTTATTGGAATACTATTAAAATGAAAAATATATTTATTATTTATTAAAATAACCATTTATCTAGATCACAGATATTTTTTATATAATATTCTTCATTCCATGAACGGAAAAGCATGCAATTTAATATCTAATTTTGAATTTGTTTAGTTTTACTAAATTGGAACTTCCTGTCTAGTGCAGTTAAATAAAATTGTGTTTAAAATAAAGCTTTCAAACCACATCTAGTTTAAAAATATTGAAGTGAAACCATCCTAAAAATTATTATTTTTTTAAACAATTGAATGGTAAATTTTAGGCAGCGGCCAATCTGTTTTACTTTCGAATGCTGCAATTAATTGTAATACAAAGAGAGCCAGTTCTAGCCGCGGCGCTCGGCCCCCTAGGCCCAGAAAGTATCTAAACCTAACCTAAACCTAAACTATATACTAATTTCGCTCTTCTTATAATTCATTGCGGCATTCCGAGTAACAGAGTTTGGCCACTACCTAAATTTTACTTGGTGATTAAATCAAGCATAACTTTTTTTAAAAATTGTTGGTACGTGGTTAGGGTTGTTATTTTTGTTATTTATTTATTTATTTAAACTTGATGTACATAATTATTCAAGAGGTGTAAAATATTTATTTGATCACCATGTAGAAGATATGTTTCATGGCATCATTTTAATTTTTAAATTGTACAGTGTATCCAGTATCCTATACATATACAGGGTTACCCACAAAACATGAGACTGTAAAGACGACCGGAAACTCTTGAAATATAACAGTCCCCAGGTTAAAATATGTATTATGCCTTTGATATAGTAACCTAAGGGCTTATTCAATAATTTGGCATAGAAACAAAAAACTTTACAGTTGCAGGTACAGGTGATTGTAGTTCCAAAATGGGCCAAGTGTTAGTTTTGGAACTAATGTCCCCTGAGGTAATCGTGAATGTAAGGAAACAAACAGTATAAATTCCGTACAGTCGTCTCTGAAGTCTCATCCTTTGTGGGTAAACCTATAGGTCTTTAATATAGAGAGAGTTGAGTATAGGTTTATCGGTATTTTCTTCAACAATTTATCAATATCTTCAACAACTTGACTTTTCCAATACAAATAATCTACACGGAGTCCGAACTATAAACATAAAAAAGAATTGACGGGATCAAGAAATCGTCTACAAATCAGATGAAAAGTGTACCTGGAGCAGACTGGAGACTGTTCCTAAATCATGATCAAATCAGATGAAAAGTGTACCTGGAGCAGACTGGAGACGGTTCCTAAATCATGATCAAATCAGATGAAAAATGACCTGGAGCAGACTGGAGACGGTTCATAAATCATAATCAAATCAGATGAAAAGTGTACCTGCAGCAGACTGGAGACGGTTCCTAAATCATGATCAAATCAGATGAAAAGTGTACCTAGAACAGACTGAAAACAGTTCCTAAATCATGATCAAATCAGATGAAAAGTGTACCTGGAGCAGACTGGAGACAGTTCCTAAATCAGGATAATATCAGATGAAAAGTGTACCTGGAGCAGACGAGAAAGTTCCTAAATCATGATCAAATCAGATGAAACGTGTACCCGGAACAGACTAGAGACAGTTCCTAAATCAGGATAATATTAGATGAAAATTGTACCTGGAACAGACTGGAAACAATAAATCAAGAGAAAATCAGATGGAAAGTGTACCTGGAGTAGACTGGAAACGGATAATATCAGATGAAAAGTGTACCTGGAGCAGAAGAGACAGTTCCTAAATCATGATATTATCAGATGAAAAGTGTACCTGAAGTAGACTGGAAACAGTACCTAGATTATGCTCATATTGGATGAAAAGTGTACCTGGAGCAGACGAAACAGTTCCTAAATCATGATATTATCAAATGTAAAGTGTACCTGGAGCAGACGAGACAGTTCCTAAATCAGGATAATATCAGATGAAAAGTGTACCTGGAGCAGACTGGAGACGGTTCCTAAATCAGGATAATATCAGATGAAAAGTGTACCTGGAGCAGACTGGAGACAGTTACTAAATCAGGATAATATCAGATGAAAAGTGTACCTGGAGCAGACTGGAAACAATAAATCAGTATGATATCAGATGAAAAGTGAACCTGGAGCAGACTGGAAACAATAAATCAGGATAATATCAGATGAAAAGTGTACCTGGAGCAGACTGGAAACAATAAATTTGGATAATATCAAATGAAAAGTGAACCTGGAGTAGACTGGAAACAGTTTCTAAATCATAGTAATATCAGATGAAAAGTGTACCTGGGCAGACTGGAAACAGTACCTAGTTTATGTTAATATCAAATGAAAAGTGAACCTGGAGTAGACTGGAGACAGTTCCTAAATCATGATCAAATCGGATGAAAAGTGTGCCTGGAGCAGACTGGAGACGGTTCCTAAATCATGATCAAATCAGATGAAAAGTGTACCTGGATCAGACCCTAAATCATAATATTATCAGATGAAAAGTGTACCTGGAGCAGACTGGAGACAGTTCCTAAATCATGATCAAATCAGATGAAAAGTTTACCTGGAGCAGACTGGAGACAGTTCCTAAATCATGATCAAATCAGATGAAAAGTGAACCTGGAGTAGACTGGAGACAGTTCCTAAATCATGATCAAATCACATGAAAAGTGTACCTGGAGCAGACTGGAGACGGTTCCTAAATCATGATCAAATCAGATGAAAAGTGTACCTGGAGCAGACTGGAGACGGTTTTCTAAATCATGATCAAATCAGATGAAAAGTGTACCTGGAGCAGACTGGAGACAGTTCCTAAATCATGATCAAATCAGATGAAAAGTGTACCTGGAGCAGACTGGAGACGGTTTTCTAAATCATGATCAAATCAGATGAAAAGTGTACCTGGAGCAGACTGGAGACGGTTCCTAAATCATGATCAAGTGAGATGAAAAGTGTACCTGGAGCAGACTGGAGACAGTTTCTAAATCATGATCAAATCAGATGAAAAGTGTACCTGGAGCAGACTGGAGACAGTTCCTAAATCATGATCAAATCAGATGAAAAGTGTACCTGGAGCAGACTGGAGACAGTTCCTAAATCATGATCAAATCAGATGAAAAGTGTACCTGTAGTAGGACTAAATACTGTTCCTGGGTAAGGTATGCTTATACAGGGATACTTAAGGACGAGACTTCAGAGACGACTGTTCTGAATTTATACTAGCTGTTTTTTTCCTGATATTCATGATTCCCTTCATCTATAACCTTTCTTTCTTTGTTTTTTTATGTGGATACACTTAGTCTTTGTTATCTTCTTCACCCTGTAATTCATAAACATGATTCTAATAATATATGTTACCCTCTGTTACAACCCTTCCGCTAAGTACCCATCCTTTCCCTTATACTTGTTCACCCCCTCCATATCTTATTCCTGATTTAGCATCATTGTTTTGTTTAAAATGTACACTGTACAGTGTACATCCATCTATTTATTTACAATTCTTAATCGCTTATAATGGGCCAACCAATCAAAACAACCAACTCTGGTTAGGCGGGTCCAAACTACATAGTAAATTGTGATTTTTTATTTGTATTATCTCGTGCTTTGTAGTTGAATAAAAATATGAAAAATATGATCATTAGTTACGCCGTTTAAAGACCAACTTCAGGGCACACGACTTAATTTAAACTTGGGATCGTCATTTATGACGAGTTTCTAGTCGTCTTTACAGTCTCATCCTGGGTGAGCTTATAAGTTTACCTTTAGCTAAAAAGGGGTTCTCCCCCAGTCTGATATATCAGAGTGTATCCAGGTCCCTCTGGAGCAGGGACAGTCTGGTAGGTGGGAGGAGCAGAACCCGGAGATATAGTAAATAACAAGGATATACAGAGCTACACATGTTCCAGTACTAGACTCTACCTAGAGATGGATAGATTTTTCAATAATAAAATCTTCTCCGGGTGGTTGTAACCATACCTGAGCTCCAGGTTCAGGTTTAATCCTGTTGTTCATGTACTCCCGAGCTATATCAAGGACGGAGAGAAGAAGATCAACAATCCGAACTAGCAAGCAGAAAAACTGGAATATCATTCTTCTACATAAAATATCAAATATTTATCAAGATAATTATGATTGAACCAAGAGTTTTGCTCTTCACAAACTTAACTCACGGTTCTCTTTCATGTATTCGTCTTCTGTATTTGGTATCCTATAATCCTTTATCCTGATCCTGTATCCCTATATCCTCTATCACGAATCATGTATCGTTTATCAAGAATCGTTCATCCTGTATCCTGTGTCCTGCATCCTGTGTTCTGTATCCGTATACATTATCCTGTATCTTGTATCATGTATCGTTTATCAAGTATCCTTTATCCTGTATGTCCGGTATCCTATATCCTGTATTCTGTTTATTAAATCCAGAGCTGAAAACTTTAGAATGTGATATCCTTAATCCCGATCTGTTAATTAATCTGGAGATTAAATTCATGAGGAAAACAAGCAATATTTAATCTTGTGATTAAGAAAAAGAGTGGATCTAGCATTAATCCCGATATCCACCATTCTAAAGTTTTCAGCTCAGGACAGATAACTATCAACTAAAGATCTGATATCCAGTATCCTATATCCTGTTTTCCGTTTATTATATCCTGTGTCCTGTATCCTATATCCTATATCCAGTACAGATAACTATCAACTGAAGATCTGATATCCGGTATCCTATATCCTGTTTTCCGTTTATTATATCCTGTGTCCTGTATCCTATATCCAGTGCAGATAACTATCAACTGAAGATCTGATATCCGGTATCTTATATCCTGTATTCTGTTTATTATAATATCCTGTGTCCTGTATCCTATATCCTATATCCAGTACAGATAACTATCAACTGAAGATCTGATATCCGGTATCGTATATCCTTTAATCTGTTTATTATATTCTGTGTTCTGTATCCTGTATCCTATATCCAGGACAGATAATTATCAACTGAAGATCATGATATCGCTCTCTCTCCATCACCTGAAAGCGTCGATGATTTTAATAGATTTCGGGCCCAGATTCTTGAGAAATGGACAAATTGTACATCGTACTTCAACCTATGAAAACATTTTCAAGATTTCTTTAACAAATTTAACAAACTTAGATAATTTTCTCTTTTTTTCTTGATATTTTCTACTAAGTTAATGCCAAAGAGGATAAAAAAACTCATTCTGCATAACCCCCATTCGGTTCTCCTAAAAGAGGAAGATGCTTGAAATGTTTGAATAAAATTTATCCATCCTATTCAGTAATCTGTCTGTTTAAAGACTACTTAGATTTTTTCCGTGCTGTATTGAGGACCCGGAGTAAATTTCTCCGTTATAAATTGAAGACCCGGAGTAGATTTCTCCGTGCTATATTGAGGACCCGGAGTAAATTTCTCCGTGATATATTGAGGACCCGGAGTATATTTCTCCGTGCTATTTTGAGGACCCGGAGTAAATTTCTCCGTTATAAATTGAGGACCCGGAGTAGATTTTTCCGTGCTGTATTGAGGACCCGGAGTAGATTTCTCCGTGCTATAGTGAGGACCCGGAGTAGATTTCTCCGTGATATATGGAGAACCCGGAGTAGATTTCTCCGTGCTATATGGAGAACCCGGAGTAGATTTCTCCGTGCTATATTGAGGACCCGGAGTAGATTTAATCTTGAATTCCTGAACTGGGCACGTGAACCTTATCCTGTAATTTAATAGCAGATCATTTACTTGTCACATCTTTCATTAATCCACTAGAAATACGAAGATGCAACACTCAAATCAAGGGACTGCTCCTGACACTAGAAATACGAAGATGAAACACTCAAATCAAGGGACTGCTCCTGACACTAGAAATACGAAGATGCAACACTCAAATCAAGGGACTGCTCCTGAAACTAGAAATACGAAGATGCAAAACTCAAATCAAGGGACTGCTCCTGACACTACAAATAAGAAGATGCAACAATCAAATCAAGGACTGCTCCTGACACCAGAAATACGAAGATGCAACACTGAAATCAAGGGACTGCTCCTGACACTACAAATAAGAAGATAAAACATTTAAATCAAGGGACTGTTAATGAATCAGAACAAACACATACTTTAACTAAACTGAAGAACTCCGAACAAGATTGTACAAATCTTCTCTTAATTTTACAAAGGAACTGAGTTTTTTTCCGCAAACTTACATTTTCTAATCTCTATATCTATGAACCCCTATGGCGTAAAGCTTTGATATTTCAAACTTAGATTACTTGGAGCTAACAGAATTCATATTTTGATATAGAAAAGGTCTTCGACATCTGGTTTTAAAGATTTAAGTTTCGAAAATCAGAGTTTGTGTCCAAAACTCGGTTCCTTTATCTCTCTTTTGTTAAATAAGCAAAATTAAATTGCAAATATCTATATTTTTAAGCATGTAAATATGTAATACCCTGAAACTGTAATTTAACTTTATTTCTCCTTTCGCAAGGATTGTATCGGACTCGAAATAATTTTTGCTACCTTTTTGCATCACTCGCATACATATCATGCCACCCGTCACTTGCTTTGCAAACTAATGACATTTTTTTGCAAGGTTTGAATATTTTTATGCAGATGTTGTAAAAAATAGATGTTGATATAAAAATAAAATCTGAAACAATTTCATTTTATTGGATTCTGATATTTTACTGAAGCAAGAACTGAAACTATAGAGTTTTAAATTCATATCAGGAGAACAATAGAATATGCTTAAATAGAATATTGTTATTATTCATTTTTCAATCTTTAAAGGGGCCGTTCTTGTAATTTTAAGTGACCCTCCATTTAAAGGGGGTAATGCCCGATTCACAACGATATCCTTTAATACGCTATGTGAATAGTTATGTGAAAGATTTCGTCGTTTTCTAGCTTGAATTGTGTTTAATTCTGACCTATTCTCTATTGTTTTTGTAGCAGAAATCCGCAAGTTTCTTTTATCGAGAACCCACTGTTAAAAATAATCAATTTTTTAAAGCTAAAATCATGGATATTTCATTTATTCTTGATTATACAAAGCTTTAAATAGCACGGTTGTGAGTCGGACATTTCAGTCAATAAATAGAATGTTACTGAAAATTACGTACACAGTCTCTCAAGTTTTTATCAAGGAGAATACAAGATAAATGCCTACAACGATTCACTAAAGAAAACTTAAAAATTCATCTCTGATCAAAAGACAAAAAATCCCCGGCGACTTGACATACAATCTGCGGATTTCAACAGCAAAGACAAAGAGGAAATGTTTTAATAATTCTACCTTTAAATACAGTTTTAAAAAGTGCTACAGTGAAAGTGTAAATGGCACTTTTTGAAAAAAGGTCACGTTAGATAAAAAGTGACAATTTGTTTAAACCCTTAATTGTCAGATAATTTTTTAGAAACAGTTTTTGTTTAGTTCTTTATTTAAAGCATTTTTCTTTGAAAATGATTAAACAAAAGCATTTTTTTAAATATCCTTTGTTTTGAACTTTCAAAATCTACGAGAATTAAGTATTTTGTGACAGCATGTTTTTAATACTGATCACCTACAAAAATTTGGCTCCGATCGGTTCAGTTGTTTCAACGGTTTGCAGGAAATAAACTAACCAACACTAAAACAAATATATAAAATATATAAATCTAACAAAGGGAATAAGGATATATAGAGGGAGTATAATATATATATATATATATATCCCCCTGAACCCGATACTTACCAAGGGGGGGAGGATAATCTGCATTCTGGACATTATTAAAAAAAATTAATCAAAAACAGGTTTTTTGCAAGACTTTCGTTTGTTTTCCTTAAACTTTATGGAATTGGATTTATGGAAAGTTCTGTAATTATTGTAATTCAATCTAGTTTACTTGTGTATCTTAGGGCAAAAATATACACAAAAGATTATAACTCACGCCTCAAACTCTGATATTCTATCTTTTCAACTCAATAATATATACCTTTGATTTTTAAACTTTGACTATTTTAATCTATAAGAACCAATAGTTTGAAATGTCAAATGTAACATCAGATTGCAATGATTATAAAATTATAGTTTTAGTCGAGTAATCAGTTCCTTTCCATACAATTATTCAGAAGTGGATTTACAAATAAATATATTTGTTAAGTCTCTTATCAATTTCATGTCTAAAGAACAAAATCTAATCTAAAACTTCCAATTCTTTAATCATAACCTAATTTTCTTTGATTACCAGAAAAACAGATGAAAAAGTAATAAATAATTGTTCAGAAAAATACATCTTTAAAAATCTAGCGGTTTTAGCGAAAAAAGTTCCCTAAAATAAGATTCATGAAAAGGTTGGATTTTGCATAGCTTTAAAGAACGTGTTAGACCAATAGGACCCTTCTCGTTTTATTCCTCTATTCCCCCTTCCCCATCTTGTCTTTCCTATTCCCTTCTTTTTCTCGGACAGTTTCTAAATCTAATTTTCTGATTACTTGATGAACTGAGGGCGCTGGACCCGGAGATAATATGGTTAAACGTCCTTACTTTCTTCAGTATATAGATATCCGTTCTTACTTTCTAGAGTACACAGCTAGTATTGAACAAGGGGAGGAGAGAATCCACCCCTTGTATTTAACAAGGGGAGGAGAGTATCCATCCCTTGTATTTAACAAGGGAGGAGAATATCCACCCCCAGTATTGAACAAGGTGAGGAGAATATCCATCCCCAGTATTGAACAAGGGGAGGAGAATATCCACCCCTTGTATTAAACAAGGTGAGGAGAATACCCATCCCCAGTATTAAACAAGGGGAGGGAAGTATCTACCCCCTGTATTAAACTAGGATAGGAGTATCCACCCCCAGTATTGAACAAGGGAAGGTCGAGAATATCCACCCCCAGTATTGAACAAGGTGAGGAGAGTATCCACCCCATGTATTTAACAAGGGGAGGAGAATATCCAACCCCAGTATTGAACAAGGGGAGGAGAGTATCCACCCCTTGTATTTAACAAGGGGAGGAGAGTATCCACCCCTTGTCTTTAACAAGGGGAGGAGAATATCCACCCCCAGTTTTGAACAAGGGGAGGAGAGTATCCACCCCTTGTATTTAACAAGGGGAGGAGAATATCCACCCCCAGTATTGAACAAGGGGAGGAGAGTATCCACCCCTTGTATTTAACAAGGGGAGGAGAATATCCACCCCCAGTATTAAATAGGGGAAGGAGAGTTTCCATCCCCAGTATTGAACAAGGTGAGGAGAGTACCCATCCCCAGTATTAAACAAGGGAAGGAGAATATCCACCCCCTGTAATGAACAAGGGGAGGGAAGTATCTACCCCCTGTATTAAACAAGGGTAGGAGTATCCACCCCCTGTATTGAACAGGGGAAGGAGAGTTTCCATCCCCAGTATTGAACAAGGGGAGGAGAGTTTCCATCCCCAGTATTGAACAAGGAAGGAGAGTATCCATCCCCTGTATTGAACAAGGGGAGGAGGGTGTCAAATTATTCCCTACGGTGTAGTAGGGCTAGATTCAATCTTTTTATTATTTCAGTTTCTCCAGTTTTCAACTTTTTCCCAACTTTAGTTTAAATAAAAAAATGAAATTCATTAAATAGTCATAAGATAATTTTTGTTTCTTATGTTGTTCAAAATTGGGTCAAACATATAGAGTTTTTAATGTACTAAGTTATAAATATCGTATTTTTAAAATTAAAAAGGAATCTCTTAGAAATTAGAAAACTGAAAGTCTATTTGAATAAAGAAAAAGTGTTTAAAACTGTATTTGGTATTTTTCCTCTCCTTTTGTTAAAATTGACATTGACATCTATAGTTCTACCTGAGCTGAATTTATAATAATTTAATCTTTATTATTCGTCTGCTTAGAACTGCAGAAACAGGAAATAAAACTTGTCTAATCAGAGCCGGGAACTTTTGTGTCGGATACTCACAATTCCGGACGCTTCATCTCGATATCCACTGTGGACACTTTTAATCTAAGGATCAATGCTTAATCTCTTCATTTCAATTGTTCCTCCCTTGATCAAAGCTCTCTTCAACCCATGACTGTGAAGTGGGAACGGTTACCATGCGGGATATCGAATAAAGATTAAAGTAATCTGCAGATTAACAAAAGATCCAGATCAAGGATTGATCTCGATATCCGCAAAACAAGAGTTCCCACCTCAAATAAACTATTGAGAAGTTTTATGTTTTATCATTCACTTGAAGGATGAGATCTTGAAAAAGTTTAGCACCAGAGCTCTCTTCAAACTCTGGAGTAGGAGAATTAATCCACAATTTAGAAAACAGAACCTTAAAGGGACTGTAAGTGTAATTTCATGTGACCCTTCATGCAGACATGGCAATGCCCGATTTACAACAGTACTCTCAGCAGTTTTATCTGATCAAGTATGAATATTGGATAAGATATTAATGTTTATAATATTGAAAACATTTAAACCTAGAAAAACGACAATATCTTTCACATTATTGATGTTTTTGTTTTTACTAATCTCCAGGGTCCCTCTAATTATCACTTGTTGTGTTTGTATGAGGCTTTTGTAACAGATGATACATCATTGATGAAAAATTCACTCAACCAAACAAAAACAAATTTCGATGATAAAAAAAGAAAATAAAAGGCGAGGATAGTGGAGAAAAGGGAAAAAAGATTATTAATGATTTTTAAAGAGAGGAACGAAGGAGGAAGAAGAAACAGAAGAGTGGTAGTGTATATCCCGAAATTTATTTCAAACCTTTAATTCAATAGTTTACGCGGTAGATATCGAGTTTAGTTGATGGGGATGAGCGCCAACCAACCAAAAGTTTTAGCCGCTGGTCGTTTAAAAAAAAAAATATCATTGCTGTTTCCTTTAAAACTGCAATCTTATCCTTTACAAACAGACAAAAAGCAATGATGACCTGAAACTTATGTAATAAAATTATGCGTTCTTGCAAATGCTAGAAATGTTAGAGCTATGAAATGAGTTATATTTGTATCCGGGCTTTTGTAGCGAATACAGAATAAAAACTCCAACAGTCCTTTGTGGATGACACTGTATCATCTATATACATTAAGAATTAATCGCAGAATTTTGACTGTTTGTTTGTATGTATGAACATAACTCATGAACTCTTTTACGGATTTGACTCAAATTTTAATTGGGGGAACTTGAAAGAACCAGGGGAAAGTTCTTAGCTTGGTTTAAGAATTCTAAATTGAGTGGGTTGACTTTTGTATCGAAAGTTTAGTTTCCATGCTAAGCTGGGTTTCCTAAGCTATTAACTTAAAAAAAAAAACTGTTAAATCATTTCACCCTGCACTACTTCAAGGCCCAAATATGTGCTAAAAAAAAAGAATTAAAGTTTTAATCCTGAATTGTGGGGAAATGTTATTATAATCCGATAGTTAGGGAATTAGCAACTTCGCAATCAGCTTACGAACAAGGTGAGGAGAATATCCANCACCACAAGTACTCAATGACATAATAACAGTCAATGTTCACAACCGAGCTAGGTAATCCATATAATAGGAATATCTTTAAAACATCTCTGTACATTCAGTGTACTTTTCTCTTTCCTCTGATCTTCCCTCAATCTTCCATCTAATCTT